ATATATGTATTTATATATATTCATATATATTTATATACATACATATATGTATTTATATATATTCATATATATTTATATACATATATATGTATTTATATATATTCATATATATTTATATACATATATATTCGTATATATTTATATACATATATACATATATGTGTTTTTATATATACATATATATTTATCTATATTTATTTATAGATATAAATATATATATATGTATATAAATTAAAACTCTGATGAACCAGATTCTACAAAAACATTACATTCAAATTTTTATAGGTTTTCATCATCATTTGATGTATTTGCACTCATTGTGTCTACTTTTAATGTTCATTTTAAATGTGTGGTTTTCTTTCTTGTTCACATATATACATTTTATTTTTAGCTTTGCCTTAAAGTTCTTGTTTTGTGATTTGTACATTCGTGAGTTAAAATAAAGTTGAACTGAAGGTCGTCTCTTCTTTAAACATGTTTGAGGGAAATATTCCTGATATCCAATAGTTTTGTGTCTTTTTATGATTTTCAGCTGAGTTAACAGTCATTAAAGTGAAAACAGGATTTCACGATGAAGCTGGCACCGTCTTTTTTTTTTTTTTAATCTTCAACGCTCTGCTGGTCTCGCACGACACTGCCCGCAGTCACACGATCCTCTCCTCCGGATAGGAGGAGGCTGCGAGGCTCATCCTCCCAGCTCCAGCTCAGCTGGTCACTCCAGAGGCTGTTCCAAGGCTTCAGCCACGCGTAATCATGAAGGTCCGACCCGCGCAGACAGGCGGACAGAGATGGGTCTGCGACGAACGGTGGAAGCGATTTAAAAAAACATTTTACGTGTAAAAAAAAAAAAATAAATCATTTTTAAATCGCTTCAGCATTTTTTTAAAATATTTTTTGTATAAAAAATTATTTAAAAATCGCTTCCAGCGTCCGTCCCAGACTGTCCTGTCCGCCTGACTGCCGGGCGGGATCGGGATTCAGCCTTCATGATTACGCGCGACCGGGGTCTGGCAACGGCCATCTGTGAGTCCCCATCTCCAGCTTCGCAGTGACCTGCGGAGCTCTGAGCACACAAGGCTGGTATCCAGAACCCGAGCCTCCGAGTCGGCACATGGATGGATCTTCCGCGGTGACCAGCTGAACTTGGAGCCGGGGAGATGACGCCCTGCCCGGTCTGGCGCTCCGAGGCTCTGGAGGGAGGATCGGGGTACACCAGCAGAGCTCCATCCAGCTTGCTCTAAATTATGTTGTCGGCCAACAAGCACAAAAAATGCCAGCACATCAACATTAGACCAAGATGTTGTCAGTATTGTTTTTAAAATCTTTAAAATAAGTCCAGCCGCTGCTCCAGTCCGAGAAATTGCAAATGGCGGATTATTGTTTTGAAACGTTTCTGAAGGATCCAGTGACTCCGCCCCCGACTCCGCCCTCGACCAACCAGTGACCGACAGTGTACTGACGTCACGTTTTTGTACCTCTTCGTACCGGTTAGAACCACAGAGCCAAGGGTACTGAAAATAGTAACAGGTGCTAAGTACCGGTACTAATGGAAAAGCCTCAGAACCGGGCCAAGTAGGGTCGAGTCGGCCCGTACCGGTACTAATGGAAAAGGGGCATAAGTGGCTTTAAGAATCTGTTGGACTCCTGCAGACATGTTCCTGTTTTTAGTTTTTTACCTGTCTAAATAAAGGTTGAATGAATGAATGAATGAGAGTTGTGCGATGAGTTAAACTCAAAGCAGTCTGCTCCTCAGATAAATAATATTAAATTATTATTTTTATATATGAATATTTCTGTTCAGTGCCCTGAGACAACTTCTGTTGTGACGTGGTGTTATATAAATAAACTGAATTAAATCTGATGAACCAGATTATACAAAAACATCTATATTTAAAATTCTATATAAAGTATCACAAAATGAAACTATTATTAAATAAATAAATCTTGAAATAAATTAAAATAAGTCTTGAAAAAAAAAATCTTGGATAAAAAAACTAAACATTTCTATTTAAATGTTTAATTTTATGGGAACATTTATTTATTTAATGGAATGATGATTAATAATTTTTAAACAACACTATTTATTTATTTAATTTTGAATGAAATTGATTTCCTTTAGGGATGCACAATATTATCGGCATGGTATCGGCCGATATCAGCGTTAAAGTTCAATATCAGACATCGGCCATTTCATTAAAATAACTAGCCGATATAAAAGGCGCGGTTTTTGCCTGCAGCGGCAGCACAACGAGATGATGTCACATTCGCCTACCCGAGCTGACGGCAGAGTTGAAAATTCAACATGTCGGCGGTGTGGAAGTTTTGTTTTTTGTTGGTGAGGATGTCAGATTCCTAAGATTTTTGGACTATGTTGAGCCTTGTTACATCGTCCCCAGTCGGAGACATTTTTCCGACATCACGTTACCCGAGTTACAAGTCGTCATTTCTGACGTCATTAAGAAGCTAATAGTGGATAGCACTGTGGTGAGTTTTATCACAGACATTTGGACGTTGTGTTAGCTCGGTTAGCATGATTAGTCTTACGGCACAAAGGATAGACAAAAACTTTGAACTTAAAAAGTCTGTCCTTCATGCACAAGAGTGCAGAGGATCCCACACTGCAGCTAGGAACCAGGAACAAGCCTCCACAAGTGAGACAGCATCGCAGGTGAATAATGCTAATAAATAATATTTAACACTTTATTTAATATACGTTAAAGTGCTATGCATATCATATGTAGGGCTGAGTACCGAACCGAGGTTCTTTTATGGCACCGACCGAACTGCACCGGTCGGTGTATGTATTGAAAGGTCACTCTTCTTTCGGTGTCGAGTTTCGGTATTGGCTGTAACGTGTCACGTGGTTTCAGCATGCAGGCAGGCAAAACACCAGACATATGACAAACAGATTACACCCAGAGCTGTATAGAGCTGCCGTACCTAATCTATGTATAAGTATGTCTATGGTGCTGGTGACGCCCACAGACGGGTTCACGTGTGCAGCGCGTGTTGTCGAACGGCTTCGACAACACGCGCTGCAGAAAGTTGCTCCGTGTTTTTCTGCGAGGAGAGAGGAGTTCATTAGCCTCACCCTCCTCCTCCTCCTCTCACCATTAAAGTCAGCCTGTGAGAGCCTGAACGTCCTGATTCATTATCTCCACGACCGGACTCTTCATCAAAGAACTCCGAGGACGTCTCTGTGAGTTTCAGCTGGTGAGTTACGTTTGTTAGCGTAACTGCATCTTAACACGTACATCGCGGTGAAATAAACTATGATCCATGTAACGCTAACTTTAACATATTAGTGTGTAAATTTATTTTATCTATGTAGCTAGCTAAAATCAGAAGCTAACTAAAGATTGACAGTAACAGATGAAGATTAGCTTGTAAAACTGCTCATCCATCCAGTCAGCTGCTTAAACAGTTCTCTAATGTTCACTGTTTATGTTGATGTTCTCCTCACAGGAGGTTCTGACCCTGATGTGAGGACAGACAGAAAAGTGAGGTGGAGGCCACAGGACAATCAGACTTTGTTGTTAAAAGATTGCTGCTTTTTCCACAGTGGAGCTGCATGTTGGAGGTAAATTAAACTTTAAAGGATTTTGTTGACAGTTAAGCTTTTATCTCTCAGCCTA